TGGTCCCTTGGCAGCGGGATGGTTCGGCCATACTTCTGCCAATTTATCTGCAGGAACGAGATCGCGATACACGCAGCTGCCACTGAATACCGCGTCGACAGACTCCAGATATTCCGGCTTGCCAGTCTTCCTCGCCAGTCGGGGCAAGAAATTGTGGCGGACAGCCGAAGCTACGCCGTCGGCACCGCAGAGCAGGTCACATCGCGCCTCTTGACCGTCCTGGAATGTAAGCAAGATTTTCTCCGTGGCATCGTCGGTATATGAGTAGCTCTCCAAACGATGGGCGAGGTGGATTCGGACATCCTTTGAGATGTGCTTCAGGAAGACTTCCTGCAATCGGGCACGGTGTAGCAAGAGCATGCGCCCTAACCACCATGAGTCAGATCGGTATACGAGCGAAACCGCACATTAGGCTCACCGTCTCCTTCCGATTCCAAAGATACCTGAGAAAAGGTCTCGCCTTCTGCTTGATCGCTCTTCCTAAGGGTGAAGCCTGTAAGTCGGATGAGCACGATGCATAATCCGTCCCATGATCATGCCGCAGGCGAGCTTAAGTACCAGTAGGCGCGCCATGCTCCTCGCGGAGCGCTTGGAAGTCCCTGCCCATACCCATGTCGCTGAGAAGATCGAGCGTCCGCTGCCAGAGGCCAATGCCAGCGCCGACCTGCGTCATCTGCGCGGCTGACTCATAAATATGGACTTCGAGGTCAGCCATCTTGCAGATGCGTTGCATAGCAAGGACGAGGGCCATGCCGGCGATGCCACCGCCTCTAGAGTGAGAGGTTAGCAGACCGGGCGTCCGGAGCTGGTAGGAAGGACGTACACGATGGCGACCTTGACCTTGCGAGGCTTGGGAGTATTCATGACGGTCGTGTTGTGGGGTGTTGAAAGTGATATTTCGTGTCCAGACTTATACAGCCGCTGCGCGTACGAGTACGCAATCGTAGTCCGTGCTTCACGCGATGATAGGCGGGGTACGTCGCGCCAAAAATTAGCCGCGGTCAGCGCTGGCGGGGAAGAAGCCTTCGAAGTGCGCGTGCGCATGTTCATACCTGAGGCCTGCTGATGCCACGGCCCGTTACGTTCTTGGCTATGGGTATACATAGGATCATCTGACATCGCATGTTCATGCCCTCGGCAGACAGTGACGAGATGCGCCGTGAATGCGACGAATGCGACGAATGCGACTATAAACGGACTGGTCAGAAGGTCATACGCGCGAAATGACTGCGATTAGTACTTAGTACTTAGCCTCGGGTTATGATGCTAACTCACCAGGTAGACACCTCGAAGTCCATACGGTCGCGCGGCTTCGGCCAGAGGTCGTCCTTCATATCCTCCTCATTGTTCGTACCCCTCTGACGATGCCAAAGTCGAACACTTTAACTGCGCCTTCCGGTGTGAACAACAAGTTGGCGGGCTTGATATCGCGATGCGCGACGTGGTGCTCGTCGTGTAGGTAAACCTGCGCAAAAAGGGTCTGCATCATGAGAGATCGCGTTACAGCGCGAAAACGGTCCCTGCGCTCTGCGATCGCGTTCTCGTCCTGGCGAAGGTAAGGCGGGTAGACGTGCGGGGTCAAGTACCGCGGGGACAGGATTTGTCAATGGGACAGGAAAAAAGGGGATATATTAGGGAAGTCATAGTCTCAGCTCGTCCCTTCCCTTCTCGTAGTGCAGAAGGGGATGACCTGCTGGGAGTTAGATCTAAAGGAGGCCCTGAGAGTTCGAGGGACGTACATTCGAATGCGACAGTGCTGAGAGTATGCGCAGCTCCTTCAAGATATCGTGCGGCTCCTTCGCGAGCATGTTGCAAAGGTTAAAGGATCTGACCGCGAGAGTCTACGGCGGGTGGCTCCCGGGACCCTACGCGCCCGTTGACTTTGGCGACGCTAGACGCGATGCCTTCTGCGATGACAATGGGTTCATTCTAAGGCGCTTGGCGACGCATTATGTGCAGGTATAGACGAGTTACGTTCCATTGAGGTCCCTTCATTATCAAGCGAATGCAGGGAGGAGCAGCAGAGATGAGAGCCTGATGAGCCACCGAATTCGGAAGAACAATGGGTTCATGTGTCACGTGCCGTGACAAGGTACACCTTGTCTTCAACCATCAAACATGTTTGCGGTCAACTGACGCGGACGACTCGCATACTCCGATCTCGTCGAATCTCATTGAGATGGGCTGTAGTCTAATCTGCAGCTCTCATTGCTGTAGACATACGGCTTACATATCAAAACAAAACTTGCAACGTCTCCTTCGCCGATCTAGACGGAATGGTACGGCCTCTCACCCCGGCTCAGAAAAATCTCATAACCCAAGTATGCATGCATCACGCACTCAGTTAATCTTCGCGCTCTCCGCTTGCGCGCGGCTGCTTGGCGTCGCTGCTTTTGATCTTTCGCCCGGTTCAATGCGAGTTGTCATGCACGCTTTGCTCTCCGTCTCACGAGCAACCATGTCGGACCTCAGAGCGCCGTGAATGTGGTGAGTCATTGTCGTGACAATGACATGATGTGTCTTGCCCTCGTACTTCGCCTTACCAGTCACTCAGTCGTTTCGTGCGTCTGACCTGTCAATCAGTCCGCCGGCACACGGTCGCGTTCGTCACATTCACAACAAATCCCGACACGGTCTATTCAGGCTGTGACCTTCCGGTGATCCTATGCCAAAGCTGAAGGACGTAACGGACCGATTCGGCGTCAGACACCAGCAGGCCTCAGGTGTGGATACGCGCGCACGAACTTGCATGACTTCTGCGCCGGAGCCGCGGCGGCTCTGAACCGCGACGTGGTTTGCTCTGCGTCCGCTCAACATCGCGTGAAGCACGGGCTTGCTACCGCGGACGCGTATGCAGCGTAGGGGCCTTATAAGCCCGAGAAGTACTCCTCTCAACGTCTTACAACACGACCGTCATGAACACTCCCAATTCTCGCAAGATCAAGGTCGCCATCGTGTACGTCCTTTATTTATAGCTCCGGTGCGCATTCTGCTGACCTCCATGTTTTAGAGGCGGTGGCATCTCTGGCATGGCCCTTGTCCTTGCTATGCAGCGCTTCTGCAAGATGGGCGACTTCGAAGTTCACATCTACGAGTCCGCCGTGCAAATCACGCAGGTCGGCGCCGGTATCGGAATCTGGCAGCGGACACTCGACCTACTCAGCGACATGGGTATGGGCGAGGACTTTCAAGCGCTCCGTGACGAATATGACACGCCAACTCGTAAGCTTATCAGCTACATCACGAGCTACATGCCCTGCTCATCTAAGTTACAGGATTCACCTACCGAAAGAGCGACCAACCAGAAGGCGAGACCTTTTATGAGGCTCATATGGAGTCGGATGGAAATGGTGAGCCTAACGACCGCCTGCGCGTATACTATGCCGATCTAACCTACGGTCAGGACGCATGCTCTTGCTGCACCGTGCCCGCATCCAGGAAGTTTTCCTGAAGCACATCTCGAAGGATGTCAAGTTCCACCTTGCCCATCGTCTAGAAAGCTACTCATATCCCGACGACGATGCAGCAGGGAAAATCATGCTCAAGTTTCGCGGCGGACAAGAGGCGCAGTGTGATCTGCTCTTCGGCGCCGATGGCGTAGCTTCCGCTGTTCGCCACAATTTTTTGCCTCGACTGGCGCAGAAAACCGGCAGGTCGGAGTACTTGGAGTCTGTCGACGCGGTCTTCAGCGGCACTTGCGTGTATCGCGATCTAGTCCCCGTCGATAGATTGATGGAAGTTTGGCCGAACCATCCCGCTGCGACGCAGCCGCATCAGGTATGCGTCTCTGCCTGGACCTTCCGTTAGGGCGCACTGACGAGCTCTGTCAGTATTGCGGGAAGAACATGGTCTGCAGGCACATTCGGCTTCCAGACTGCATAACTAACATCTCTCTTCAGCATATCGTCACGTATCCCGTACAGCAGGGGAGCCTCATCAATGTCGCGCCTTTCTACAGCGATATTTCGAAAGAAAACGCGCCCTTCTCCGGCTCTCAAATCGGTGTCTCGACCACGGAGGAAGTTCTGATAAGATATAAAGATTGGGAACCTGAAGTGAAGGCCTTGCTCGGTGTACGTGCGGTCAATGACCTCTTTCGCCTAATTAGTCGAGTCCTAAGCATTGGGCGATCCTCACCGTCAAGCCCCTCGACGTTTGGGCTGATGATGGTGTTTTCCTGCTTGGTGACGCAGTAAGTCCTGGTCACCCACTTTCAGCAGCGTAATCTCAAGCACGATGTAGGCACATGCAATGACCCCGCATCTTGGAGCGGGAGCAGGACAGGAGCGGGAGCAGGACAAGGAATTGAAGTTCGTATTTTTCCTTCGCTGCGTGCATTCCCAAACGCTGACCCCGCTCAGGACGCCTATTATATCGCGAAAATCCTCGCCTATGTTCAGGATAAAGGGCCGCTCGAGATCCTCTCCGCAGAGCCTTCAGCACTGTACAACCGCCTCCGCCCACCGTTGGCTAATTTCGCGCAGGCACGCTCGCGGCTGCAGACGCTGTTCTACGACTTCAATGAGGAGGGCCAAGACCTGTCTCTCGTTGAAGCGAGCTCGTCGATGCATACGGAGCCGGACCGATTGATGAGGCTGGGGCACGGTATCTGGGACGGATATCTGTGGCCGAGGCACGCGATTGCGCGTAAGTGGGACGCGGAAGCGGCAAAGGTTCTGTCGGGGGACGCCAGCGGATGCTCATAAGCTCGTGATATCACATGGCAACATTCAGCTCCTCCGTTTGCCTGTCCTGTTGCGCTGCGAACTCGAGAGCAATTAACTAGTCGTGAACCATTGTGTGGTTCTGAAAGTCATGCCAGAAATCTTCTCGAGGCCCGAGGGTCCGGGGGAGCTGTCAAACATACATTCGCGGAAGCTTCCGCCGCATCATGAGTGTCTGCGACGTGATGACAGGTGCCGCGCCCCTTCCTCCTCGTCCGTGATCTGCTTTGCTCTGCGTTGTGTCTGCACTTTTTGCTGTCAGTTTCTCTATAACAAGCATCAGTGGTGTAACGGTAACATTGGAGCTTCCCATCATTGGGTTGCCGCAAGGCAATACAATGCTCTAGCCTCGGGTTCGACTCCCGGCTGATGCAGCTTTTTGACTGTTCTTCCTTTATTTTTGCCGCTCAAGGTCAGACCGTCTGATTCGGTACGCCTACGAGTGAGTATCAATTATACAGTCAATTATTTAGTCCGTAGCAGGTCAGTGTGACCAGCCATGAACCATTCGTGCCGCTGAACAAGTCGAACAACAATCACATGATGAGCCACGTGCACAGGAGCAATGGGTCACATCTCCCCGCAAGGCGTTACGTTACTGCTAGTCTTTGTGTTCGAACAATCACCTTGACCTGGACGCGGCGCGTCTGGAAGCGGAGCCTGCGCCTTTTTCTCCTTTTCTTCCATCTCTACGTGCAGTTGATCTGCTACAGACATAATACCCCAAAACGCGTTCCCTATGCAGGCCTTCTTCCAGTCAATACAGTCGCGTCTACAAGGTTCACCGATCGCGGGGTGGACATTTCCGTCGCTTGGGTTAGGTGTGTGCAGAGTATCACTACTTTCTTTTGGCTTGTCACTGACTTCTGTGAAGCCCAGCAACGGTACCCACACCCGATCTTTGGACAACTGAATGCATTCTTGCAACATACTACCCCAGTAGTGGACAATACCATACACCCGTCGTCTGAGGCTACGCTGCTCCAGGTACGGCACCTTGCCTTGCATCTAGAAGCCTTCTGACACCTCCTGAAGCGCTGCATATCCTCCTCAAGCACCTCACTCACCTTGACCTGTCATCCTACCGAACAAGCCTCGGTTACATGCTCCATGCGTTCCTCCACCAACACTCACTCCGAACACTCGATACCCATATCATCAATGCCTACCTCCCACAAGAAGCGTCCTCTGGGGCTAGGACTCGGCCTACCCTCTGCTATTCGCCGATCGCCTCAGGCAACACCGCCGACATCATGCTCGCGAGACTCCCAGCCCTCGGCACAGGAAATGGCTACCACCAACCCACGCGCTGGTGCCGGTGCGCCTCCCCGAAGCAAGAAAGGTGCTGCAGGCCTCGGCTTGGGGCTGCCGTCTATGGCTCAGGCCAAGCCGGCGGCTCGCGCTAGGTCCTCTAGCTCGGCAACTGCACGCTCGATCGCGGCCGCCGCATCGCAGCTGCAGACCCGTCCTCGCACGGTCAGCCCGCTCAACTTCCTACGACCTGCACGGTTTCCTAAGCGTCCGCTGTACGCCATTCCGGAGGTCCCGTCGTCGTCCGCCGAGAGCGACCTCGATGAATCGTCCCTTGCGGTCGATGACTATGCACCCCAGTTATTCTCTGAAGCCTACCATACGGATACCCGGGAACGCAGTTCCCTTTCTTCCGCGCTTGCACGGTCCGCCCGTCCTTCCTCCAAACTGCTTTTCTGACCGCTTTCTTTGCTACCCGTACGTTATTCCGAAAGTTTTCATCGCTAATCACACTTGCTCTGGCTCAAGTCCCTCATTGCCGACCCCGATGCTACCTTCTTATTTATGCATACTTACTTCGGACTCAAGGTCCTACTTACCATCCACGCTCGGAACGACCGCCATCTCTGGTCATATCATCCCATTCCTATGGACTCAACCACACCTATGGACAACTCTTCTTCTTTTGCGTCACCTTTCCAAATCATATCTTTGCATCAGCATGTCAACATCGTCCGATTCCTTGCGTCCCATACCGTGATGGACTTTACACGGACCTCCAGTGCCGATGCGGGCGGGGCCCACTCTATAGGTTGGCAACCTTACTTCCGTCAACTGCATGTTGATGCTGTCTGTCGGCGGCGCACTGAGCGATCCAGAGACCTCATATAAGACAATGTTGCGTCGAGGGTTTCTGTTCCCACTCGTATCTCCCGTCTCCATCATGGTCAACTATAATCGCTGCGCAGCGGACGCTGCCTTCTTCCTCGTCAGCTTGACCGCCGTCCAGTGGTCCACCGACCGCCCAACGTCGACTTGAGGTACACCCGGTACAGCGGGAAGTTTGACGGCGCGAGGAACACGACCGACTTCCTCTATGCAGATGCGCCAGTCGGTACGCATGGCTTTTCCGCCGCCGCTTTGTCGACTACTGATTACTCTGCGACAGGACCCAATAGATGGCGAGCACCCTCCCCGCCGCCCAGTCCCGTGTCTGGTAAGTACAATCAAGGCCGTCTCGCACCCTCCTATATGTCCCCAGGGCTGGTATGACGGCGTTGACCTACCTCCAGCGACCCTCGTCTCCAGCGAGGACTGTCTCTTCCTGAAGTGAGTGTGCACAATCCTGCTGCTGAGCTGTCCATGGTACTGACCCCCACCACCTCAGCGCCCGGTCGATGTGACCCCGCGACCAAGAAGCCCGTCCTGGCCTACGTCCACGGCTGCGCCTACGCTACCGGCGGTGCGGGCGGCCCGTTTACGACCCCAGCCACCTCAAGGCTGCGGCCGAGGGTGGCTTCGTGGCCGTCTTCGCCCCAATCGAACGGAGGATTTCGAGCCGTCTGTGCGGACTCTTAGGTCAGAGGACGCGCTCATGGAGCGATGCAGGTTAGTTTTGTATCGGCTGATCTACATGGACGCAGCTGAAATGAATATGCAGGTTTTGGTGGAGTGCGGCGAGGGAGGTGGGGCAGTGACAAAGATCCTTGAGCATGCCATAGCGGTAGGTATCTTGGTGTATTGCGTCTCACGCTGCCACCGACTAGGTTGAAGGGCGGACTTTTGGCCATAACCGCCTGTAAATGGCGCAGACCACGTGCCTGTTCAGCTTCACGTGCGGTTCGGCTTGTGACGACATTTCCGCGGACGCAGGGCCACGTTCTTCGACAAGCGCCCACTCCACGACGATACATGATGTCACCCGAGATGTCACCACTATGTCACCTTGGCGCACGCGCCGCGCGGAAGGAGGGCAGTCGTATATAAGGCGGGAGGGAGATCGCGTCCTGCACTTTGCTTTTGAACGACCCACCCACCCATTCGAATATCACCACCCATCACACCTTCTCACAACATGTCTGGCGCCATGCAATCCAACGTTGGCAACTCGCAGATCTACAACGATGGCGACCAGCGCGAGCACAAGGACAACATCCAGCACGAGCGTTCACCGTTCGACGCGGGTGCACCGAATTCGCACCAGAACTTGGATTCGAAGTGAGTCCTCGTTTCTGCTGGCTCTGAGAGCCCTCATCAAGTGACACGTGCTTAACCCGCATCTTAGAGACCAACGCACCATTGGCAACCGTCTCGCCGCCGCCGAGAAGGCAGAATCACCCAAGCCGCGGACGGTCGAGGACCCTTTAAAACCCGCACAAGCGCACGGCAACGAGCCGAGCCGTGGAGCGAAGGTGGACGCAGAACTGCAGGAAGAGGATGAACTGAGGTTGAAGGAGAAGGGCATCAAGCACTGAGGTACTCGTCGGAGGATCCGTAACTCGACTATTCACATTCATGGACTGAGAACAAAAACAATGTACCAATATAATGGGTCCTGATAGGCTTTGCCTGGGCCTTGCACGCACTCTATTTGTGATAAATTCTACTTTACAGAAGTCAGTCGCGCAATGTTGAACAGGCGAAGGTTACTACACGTGATAGAGGGGAACTCACGCGGGACGCAGCAGGCAAGGTAGAAGAACTTGCAGGGAGACGGCAGAGAAATCTGATACTTACGATGCGTCAAGGTTCTGGTCAGCGCACACCTTGTCAACGCACACAGTTTGGACGGGGGGGAGGAGGCAGGGAGGAGGGGTGATGTCCGTTCGAACTTCGTGGCGTCGATCACTTCGAAAAGGCAGTTGCCAGTTTCTTTCTTGTTTCCGCCTTGTTCTTCCGCATCTTTATCGATATCATTGCTACTGCACCATTGACTGGTCCTGACTTGTGAGTGTCAAGCTCTGTAAGTATTGGACGTTCCTCGACATGACTTACTGCTGAGCGCTGCACGTGCAACGGGACTTGCTGATAAATTAATTCCCGGGCCCGGCGGGCATTGGGATCCTGGCAAACAACATGAAACAAGCTCGTGAGTCGTCGTGAGATATGTCATATAGCGATTTCTCGCCGACCGTGCGCACAATTCTATTCATATTACCCCCGGGCAGGGGCTCGCCTGTCGATTGTCGATTGAGCCCGGTACGAAAGACCGTTGAGACTACTAGGGACTCAAGTTCTGGCCGAGCAACTCGGCCTATGTAGCAAACTCGAGCTCGATGCGTGCGGCATGTCGTCTATTCCCCGTGTTCATCGCGCTTCGACGTCGCCGACGTCAAAGGCATCACTTTACATCCTTCAGTGAAGCCGGTCTACACGCGGAGGCAAAATTCGTCTGCCACCATCGTCGAGTATAAGTAGCTTCAGACCGCAGTGAAGCCCCGTACGTTCATCAATCGCCCACACACATAGTCCTCTAGTCTTCACAGTTCTCAGCCATGTCCCAACAGAAACCCCTTGTTGTCGTCTTTGGCGCATCCGGAGAGACAGGCCGATCCATCGTTGAAGGTCTCCTGCGCAGCGCCGAATTCGTGAGTTACCATTCTGTTCCAGTCAACAGGCCAAGCTGAACTCGAGCCCAGCGCGTCGCCGCCGTCGCTCGCAATCCCTCCAAGCCAAATCTTGTCAAGTTCGCGGAGCGCGGCGTGACCGTTCATCAGGCGGATCTTCTCGCCGTTACTCAAGAACGGTTGAGGGAGATCCTGACGGGGGCTGACAGCGTCATCGCCACCTTGCCTGCCGACTGCTTCGAAGCGCAGAAGGAGATCGTGGAGGCCGCCAAGGCGGTCGGCGTCAAGCGCTTTGTCCCGGACGACTTTGCCACCGAGGCGCCCACGGGCGTCATGTACCTTCATGATCAGGCATGTCCACAACCGTCGCGCGTCGGGTTGTTTAATGGCTGACCTTTGTGAGCAGAAACTCGCCATTCGTGAATACATCAAAAAGTCCGGCCTCGGGTACACCTTCGTCGAAGTGGGATACTGGATGCAGATGGTCCTCCCCTGGCCCGCGCAGCTGACGGGCTTCTTGGCCGATATGACGCGCGAGGTCGTGGGCACTGGCGATG